GTTCTATGATTACAATGTCAGGATCAAGACTCGAGGACTATTAACAACAACTATGAGGAATGTTTGGTGGTGGAAACGGCGAAAGAATATGTTAGGAACATACGGTTACCGTTAGCAATATTTTTAAATCACAGTTTTAATTTGTTTTAATAGATGGCTCTGTAGCTCTCTGGTCTATCAATTTATTTTTTCGGAGAGCTACAGATCTGCAGCTACTATAGGCTCTACCCGGATCAAACTTGGATGAATGATGTATCTATGGATGGACGTACTTTACCAGACTTGCTTCGGGTGCTGGATCTGACCACATTTTTTAGATGAGTGACCAGGTCAAAGTTTTTGGAGCAGGTCCATTCCCAAGTAACTATAAGCCCTACCCAGACCAAACTTGCAGGGATGATGCATGTAGGGATGGACACTAGCAGACTTGCTTAGGATGCTGGATCTTACCAGTACATTTTCTAGATGAGTGACTAGGTTAATCCCAATAAACTATAATTAAGCCCTAACCGGAGCGAACTTGCTTCGATGATTCATTTAAAGATGGAAAATGGAAACTTGCTTCGGATGCTGGATCTGACCTATATTTTTCAAACAAGTAACCAGGTTAAAGTTTTTGGAACAGATTAATCCCCAATGAACTTTAAGACCTATTTAAACCGAACTTGCTTGAATATTGTTTTCAGGATAAATACTAACTGTTAAGAAAATATGGTGTAAGATTTGCATTACTTGAACTGATAATATTCCTCGATTGATTGATTGATTCATTGTGTATTGTTATATTGTTTAACGTCCCTCTCGAGAATTTTTCACTCATATGGAGATGCCACCATTTGCCGGTGGAGAGCTGCAAATTTTGTCCTTTACTCGGCACTCAGGGCCATTGAGCAGGGAAGGATCTTTTTCGTGCCAGCACCTACTGAGACACGGGACCTCGGTTTATACGGTCTCATCCGAATGACCGGTCTCCACGTCCCGCAGTGGGATTCGAACCCGCGAAGTAAGGATTGACTCCTTACTTCGCGACACTAGAGCAGACGCTCTAACCACTGCGCCACGCGGGCGACTACGTCGAGGTGAGCTTCGTAATCTTTGATTACCTATGTTTTTTTTATTATTGTGATAGACCAATCCTGGGAAAAAAAACAAGATCCCCCACTCCCCCTTTTTAAAAAAATTAAACAAATATCATCTATATAAAAGAGTTTTCCACTTAAGTATAGTAGCTTGGTCCCTTTTTTCGCCCTTATTTTACAGAATATACCGGTACTCTAGGATATTGTACACTTTTTATTTTCATGGTGTATAACATAGTATTTCTGATTAAAATTTGGTACAATCATTATTAATGACTTTGAGTATCAAGAAATAAAAGCCAATTTTCAACACCTACCGCACATACAAATTCCGGAATATTTTCTTTCGAACAGAGTACGGTTTCTTTATTACATACAGTGTACACATGGGCGGAGACATTTAAGGTGTTTGGCTTCTGACATTAAAAATAATTGAAAATGATTTTTTTCTTTTTTAATTGTAAGAATAAACATAATAAATTATTTTAAGCCAGAAAAATGCATATGAATATGATTTAATTTTCAAGCTATAGGTGTTCCTGACAAAGGGAGGTAATTCTCTCATTTTAGTAAAGAAAAAGACCAAATTTGTGTCCAACATATTTAATATTTATTTTAAACTAAGAAATGTTTTCAAATCATTCCAACCTTTTGCTATCTTTTAAAAGTAGTCATAGGGAATATAAATATTGATAAAATAATAATGATAATTGATAGAAGATAAAATTTAATTCTTATCAAAAAGCACACACCCTCATACAAAAAAATGCCTTTTTTTCCTTTCACAGGGCTTATAAAATGAGCTTGGAAAATAAATTAGAAATAATTAACAAGTATTTTTTTTTCTATATATTTGTTACTTAGATGAAGTGCTTTCAAATGGTGTAAAAAATTGTATATCAATATGAGTTACTTTTAAAGATATTTTAACTTGAATTTCCTCTGACCCATTTTTCTCAAATTTTGACCAGAGGAAATTCGGATTGATTCTGTTTGCCTCTTCCATGATTTTGGGGGATTTTCTATTTGCCTAAATGAATAAGTGTATTGAAACTCAATCTTTTTCTTTAAAAGAAAAGGGACATTTCATTTTTTGGGGGGACTATTTAAGACTTAGGGGAAAGAGGGGAGGGGGGGGGGTTAATATCTATTTTCATGCCCACTCACATTACCTGAGGATAATTCTTTAATAGTTTGACTAATCATGGCTTTGCCTGTTCTGAGTTGAGAGGATTTTTACAGACATTTCAAATATTTTTCTATGCATACTTTGCTCCACTTGTGGCCCATCCTTCCCCCAGGAATTATTGAATATAGGGTATGTAATGAAGCTAAATTTCACGTAAATGTCATCTTTTCTTCAGTGGTTCTTCAGAAGATTTTTGAATAATGCCACCAAAATTCTTAATTACCCCCCACTTCAAGAGGGCGAGACACTTCCTATGAACAAAGTTAAATCCCCTTAATTGAAATTGGGCCAGTTGGTCTTTCAAAGAAATAAAATATATCAAACTTTACACACCCCAGACAAAAGACCGATTGCCAGACAATCTTTGATCAGAAAAGCTCACTCGGGCTTCCGTGTCAGGTGAGCTAAAAACCACCACATAGTAATCATTTCACTATAAACGTTTCACAGCGAAATTCCAGTTATTGAAAATGAAGGGAATAAAAAAAAGACTAAATGAATGTTTTGAACTACTAGTTGTACCAATAACAGCTAGTTTAATTTGCGTCATGCAATGTAAATCTCTCTTGATTTCATTGTATCAAACAAAATGTTCTTTATTCAAGATGAAAAATGATCAACTATTTAACTGTATTCAGATCCATGTTCCTTGTGATAGAGATCTATCAAATTGTTACCTTACAAGTAACATACAACATTTTTATATACTGTAAACATTAGATTTTTTGTGCCTTTGACAGAAAACTGCTGTTGCTATATCAAGAACATCGCTAACTTTATGACCTGCGTATTTATAAGTACACAATAAAAATTTTGCTAGAAATCAAACCTAGCCCGATTGTTGAAAAATAGATTACTGCCAAGTATAGGTCATACACAATATTAAACATTTACAGAATGTCCTTTCATATTCATTTGTGCATGTTTCAATTTAATATGCACATAGTCTTCTTCAATAAATATCAATGAACCCCTTTTAATTTTTCATGTATGCTCAAAATATGGGTAATGAAAATAAATTGTTGTCAATTTCTAAATAAGGATTTATTTTGAATGGAAAGAAAATGTTTTGTTCAACTACAAACTACCTATAACAATAAACATTGAAAAAAACAATAGTACATGGCATAACTATACCCCTGCTCTGAAGCACAGGGTTTATACTGTTTTTCTTTCTACACTTGTGTGTCTTTCTGTCAGTAACAAATTTTTGTCCAATTTTTCTCAGCAATCACTCATCATGCTCAATTGCTCATCACAGATGCTTTAAGTTTTAGCACACTCTTTCTTTAGCCATGCCGTATGTTGGAATTGGTTTTAGACAAATCTGATGTCAACTTCCTGTTTATCTGTGCATCTGTCTGTACCACAAATAACAAATTTTTGTCACAGTTTTCTCCACAACTACTCATCACAGTTGGAATTGGTTTTAGACGAATCTGATGTCAACTTCCTGTTTATCTGTGCATCTGTCTGTACCACAAATAATAAATTTTTGTCACAGTTTTCTCCACAGCTACTCATCACAGTTGGAATTGGTTTTAGACGAATCTGATGTCAACTTCCTGTTTATCTGTGCATCTGTCTGTACCACAAATAACAAATTTTTGTCACAGTTTTCTCCACAACTACTCATCACAGTTGGAATTGGTTTTAGACGAATCTGATGTCAACTTCCTGTTTATCTGTGCATCTGTCTGTACCACAAATAATAAATTTTTGTCACAGTTTTCTCCACAACTACTCATCACAGATGCTTGAAATTTTTTAGACATGAAATATGGTTGGATTCATTTTTGTACGAATCCATTGTCAATTAACTTTGTTTATTCCTGTCTGTCCATATTCACATCAGAGTGAGGGTATTACTAGTGAGCACTGGCTCACAGAAATCAAACAAACAAACAAACAAACAACCAAACAAACAATAACATAGTTACATACAAAGAACATCATACAACTGTGTTACTGCTCAGATCTGAGAAAATCTGCAACAGAATCAATGATTTTTCTAGATTTTGTCACACGCACACTGTTATCTGTTATCTCTGTTAGCACATCCTGTACTCCCTCCCTACCATTTCTGCGATAAGCCAGTTGTAAGTGTGATAAGGAGAGTCCACTGCTGGCAATCTTATTTCCCATTCCATTCGAAATCACCTTTTGGTCCAATAAAGGCTTTAGTGTGCTCATTAGACTTTTTGTTGTGTTCTTGTGATGGAATATGGCAAAGGCAGAGTTTGAAGTGAAAGATGCAGCAAGTTTGACTTCAGGGGAAGGTCCTGTATGGTCCAACAATCTCTTCAAGGCTAAGACATCCTGTAATGAGTCATGCGCACTGTATTTGTCTTGTAGAATTTCTTCGAAGAGGTGCAACTGTGAGTATGATGAAAGGTTTGGATGCGAAATTTTGAAAAGAGGTAAGGTATCAATGAAACCAATGACTGCAGATGAGAATGCCTCCAAAATGTTTAATTTACTCAAAATGTTGAACAGCACAGGAAGGTCAAACACTTTGGAGTTGTGTCCAACTAGAACAGCATCTGACTCCGATTTCTTCATGAAGTCGATAAACTGGATCAGTGCATCCTTAATGCTGACTGTGTCAACTTCCTCATCATTGTGGTACATTTTATTGTTGACTACTTTTATTCCAGTAATTTCTGTAGCTTTTGAGGACATTGGTTTTTCTGGAATGATGTATTTGTTGAAAACCTCATCATTTCTTACTGCAGACAACTGCACAATATGAGAATCCCTTGCTGAAAATAAAAAACAAATAATTTAATTTTGATTGTAACGCATCATTTGATTGGATAAAAAATTAATCTAAATTGTATAATCTGGTTTGCTTACGTCACAATGACTTACATCAAATTGTATCAATCCGCTTGATGTTACGTTTAAAATATGAACTATTTGAAGGCGTTATAAAGAGAAAATTTGTCTTGTTTTATATTCTTGATGATTGAAAATTAAATCATAAGGAGTGAATTAAATGGCAACCCAAATTATACTGCTACAACCTGGGTTGGAGCAGTTTACGCTTTTTTATAAACCGCTTTGAGGTTTAGAATGCGTAAACTGCCCCAACCCAGGTAATACAGTATAATTTAGGTTGCTATTTAATTCATTCCTTAAGTAAATTCAAGTTTTTAAAATTAAAAGCATTAAAAAAAATACATACAAAAATTGATATATTGTAAATGTATTATATTTAGCATGTATGATATTTGGCAGAAATTGACTTTTGAATAAGTAAGCGTAGATTTGATTTAGCGCATTTCTTCATTTTCTTCTTTATGTGTATATGTGCAAGACATTTAGCGTTGTACTTGATTTAGCGGTTGCTGCGTTTCGCCAAATCCGCTGTTAGAATACACAGCCAAATGTAATCCGTTTACAGTATGCATGATTTAAAAAATTTTGAAACATTATAATAATAGTAACCCTCTTCCCCAAGGCTTAACTCCTTCAAAGATGCTTGAATTCTTTCAGAATATGCAATTTCTTTTTAATCAGTGTCCTCAGAAGGAAGGGTAAAGTTTTCAAAGATATAAAACATGCTCAACTACTTGTACCAATACCGGAATTATGCAAGAGTCTCCATTTCTATTCGTTTTCTATGATAACTCTAGTATTATTCCTTCAAAATGCATACAAAAGAAATACCGGAAGAGGGCCATAACCATCAGCATTGACTTAACATTTAAATCTAGGTTCTTACCGAGTCCAGTAGTTTCCAAATCAAAATAGATCTCTTCAGCATTTAACAGCTGACTTGAAGGGAGATGATCATACTTTGGAATTGTTTTTGGAGCTGGAATTTCAACGATGTCAGAGGCCTGCTGGAGATCACATCCTGTTAAATAACTGATGCCTTCCCTTGTTTCTTTTGTAGAAATACTTTGAATTCTGTAAAGAAGATGTATACTGTAAAACAAATGATTCTAAACTGAGGTCTTACAAAAGGCCTAGCAAAATAAACAATCACCTAATGTACAGCTAATAAATTAGGAGTTGTAAATTAATGAAAATCCTGAGCACATCGGCAAGGAAAGAGCACAAAGTAGACCAGAATAGAAAAGTTATGGTACATGTAATTTACTGAAGGGGGGGGGGGGGGCTTAAATTTTATCACTACTTAAGAATGCCTCCATATCAATACAGCATATAACTTTTTTAACATTTTGTTCGTATATATTACTTAGTAATAATTTGAATTTGATTCCCCACTGTTTCCCTCCCTACCACAAAGGATCAGGATTTAAACAAATTTAAATCTTCAATACATGAGGATGTTTACATTTCCATATAACTAAACATAGCTTCTCTTTTTTTTTGGGGGGGGGGGGATTTCCCTTTATTTTCCTATGTAAAACTTTGATCCACCATGTATGATTTGAAAAAAAAAATTAATTCTACTTTACCTGAGGATGCTTCCATATTAATATCACCAATCATAGCTTTGCTATTCTTGAGAATTTTTTAAAAAACATATTGTACTGTAAAATGCAATTGTGGCCCCACCCTATCCCTGGGGGTCATGATTTAAACAATCTAGAATCTACACTACCTGAGGATGATTTCATATCAATATCACTTATCATGGCTTTGCAGTCCTTGAGAAGAAGATTTTTAAAGATTTCAAATTCTCTATATATTCCTGTGTAAAACTTTGATTGGCTATGTGGTCCCACCCTATCCCCCAGGGTCAAGATTTGAACAAACTTGAATCTACACTACCTGAAGATGATTCCATATGAGTTTCATCTTTCCTGGCCCAGTGGATAATAACTTTGTAGCAAGTTTGGTTGAAATTGGCCTAGTTGTTCTTGAGAGGAAGATGAAAATGTGAAAAGTTAATGACAACAGATACATTTTTATCAGTAAAGCTCACTTGAGCTTTCCGCTAAGGTGAGCTAAAAAACTGGGTATGTAGGTAGGTAAAATTTTTATTTTAAGATTGCAGCAAAGCAATATGCCCTCCCTTCTTTGAAAAAAATATTTATCAAACCATGCTATTTATAACAAGCATACCGTAAATCTTTGGTGATTCAGAAAACAAATCTTAGTAACATGCAAGATATTAATTCCCACTTAAATTCATACTTATCATCATTCACTTGTTCTTGGTTTATTTTCATTTTTGAGGTTGACAAAAGGTTTTTTACACCTGACAAATGACAATCAAAGTATACTAGTACGTACTTCCTGGCTTTCAATTCTCTCCTTCTCCTTTTAAATTTCTGTGTCACTGAAATGGCCTTCTGTCGCTTTCTTTGTAAATCCCTCAGAATGCACTGTCGTCGAGTATAGTAGCCAGGAGAGAGGCCCAATTTCTTGTTAACCTTTAATAAGGATAAAAGAATCTATTATGTACAACTACAATGTACATACATATACAATACAATCTGCTTTTGATTAAAATTTGCAGAATTTTCAAATGTAAGAGATAACTTGAGTGGTTCAACTCAGATATGACACAATAAGCATGAAAAAATAAAAATTTACAAACCTTTACAAGATATCTGTGTCCAACATTTTTCTGGGCTACACATGCAGCAACTCTATATCTGAGGCTTGAAGAAGAGCTGTAATGATGGGTCTTTGGGGCTTTTGCAGACACCATTCTGTGAAAACTCTCATTCGACTGTGTGCTTCCTAAGCATGAAAGACGATCAGAATGACTTGCATATGAACTGAAGACTTCTTTCAGATCATCCTGAAGGAACCTATCTTTCAGGGGTTTTCCATGTGGAAGTGACTTGTACCTCAGGTTAGGGTTGTTAATGAAGTTGCACCACCTTGAGGAGCAGTGTTGGTGATCTCCAAATATGTGTAATGGAATTGATGAAAGGTCTTCTTTGATTTGAGAAGCATTTCCTTTTCCCTGTGCTATGGAGTAACTGAAGCATTTCTGAATGTACTTTATCACAGACAAAGTTAGAGATGAATGTTTTTTCTTCAAGGTAAACAAAGAGTTTGTAAACAGTTTCTTTAGATGATTTTTATCAGACAACTTCTTAATATCAGCATTGACATTAGCTTTCAGTCTTGCAATAGTGGTAGAGTCCTCATCTCCAATGATTCCATCAATGGTTATTCCTTTACTTTTCTGTAGATCTTGGACCATCTCAATAACCATATCTGCCTCCATGGCCTTTGAACTACCCTCCCAATTCTTTGAGCACTCATGGGCTGCTGGATTCTTGTTGGTTGATTCAGCTACACTGCATACTCTGCAATTCTTAGACCTCAGAGAGTATGACAATACTTTGTCGGAGAGAGGACCAACCATGGAACAATGACCTGAAAAATTACAAATTAGAAAAACTGTATAACTTATAGATGTATTCGTTGTTTTTATTAAAGCATTTTTCATGCATTTCTTAACTTAATAAAATGTATGTCTTAATACTTTGGCAAGGAAAATCAAACTCGATCACTGATGTTACATGTATGCATTTGGTAATAACCTTTAACCCCTTTAGTCAGCAATGAACCTGTGCGTCCAGTGCACTATAGCATAATTAGGTAAAATATTTATTTTTCATGAGGGGTGCTGTATAATTAATGCAAATCGTTCAACTTTAAAAAAGTAAACAGTTGCTATAAAACGTGTTTGCAGGATGCAATAGGGACCAAATTCCTACTTCTTTGAAGTTAGTGTTCTAAGTATTGACAATGCTTTGGTAAATAATGTTTCTAATAAGTGTCGTTAAAAATTGGTTGCGTGCCATAGAGCGATTAGCGAATACGCTAACTGTGTAAAATCACCTAATATTTTAATATTTTGATTTGACTCATTATGACTCTTAATGATTTTTCTCCTATATATATTCCCGTGTAAACATTATATCCTTTTTTGGCTCCATTATCCCACCTTGGGTCCATATTTCGAACAAAACTGAATATGCTTTACCTGCATGAGCAAAATAACTATTCATGGCTGTTCTTTAGAAGAATATTTTACAATTTATATGGACAGTTGAACTTTGAGATATGTGTCTTTCTAAATTTATTGCATCTGTTTGCATACATATTTAATGGAATCAAGTCCTAAGCAAACTTAATGCATAGTTTATGTTGGGCACAAGCGGAAAGTAATCACTCTAATCATCAATATTTTTTTTTATTTTCCTAAAATTTGTCTACTGTAGAAGCATAAATTTTCGTGGGCATAAAATTTTGTTGTTTTGACATCAAAAATAATCTCGTCGTTGTTTTAAAACTAACCCTAGGTCTAAAAAAAATATGTTTGTTTCCTGTAACCCGACCGACCCATTCAAATTACCCCCCGGGTGAATTTTTTTTCTGACAAATGGCAAAACTTCGTTTGATCAATCAGCTGATTCCATTTATTAAAAAAAGAAAATTAGCTTGTAGCTTAACTGGAGACATAAAATATGTCAACCTAGTTTACATTTAAGTTTGATTAGTTATAAAGAGTAATCATTATTATAACAACAATTTCCCCCTACAACTTTCTGAAGTCCGTTTTCTGCCGCTACGCAGCCATTTTGGATGCCATGTTGGGTGTCCACTGTAAATATGACACCTGGTATATTGAGTCCAGGGATGTTTGACAATTCATGAGAAAAAAAAAAAATCCCGACCTACCGACCCTTAATTTTTTTGGAATGTTACAGGAAACAAACATATTTTTTTAAAAGCCCTATTCAATATATAGTCATATAAAATTTCGTGTGGGATTTAATTTTGTTGAATTTTGTTAACGGAATAAACAAAATTTAATCCCCCCGAATATTTGTGCTTTTACAGTATTTTTACCTGATAAACTATCATATGTCTTTCCGCTACCCCGTTTTTGCCATCCAGCATCTACAGCAACAACTAGTCCATTTTCGTTCATCTCTCTGAAAAATAGTTAAATAACAGACATCAGTTATTAACTGTGAACCTGTCTCCTTTAGAACACCCCCTAATGTGCATAACATTCTGCATATTTATCAACACAAATTATACTGTACATGACTAAACCTTATATTTATCAGTATATCAGATTCTATTAACTTGATCACTATCAATTATTATTAGGTATTCCCTATGATTTTCATTTGGGGATCAAAACTAAAACACGAGGCTCTTGGGGCTTGGGCCACAATACTCTAGGAAGTCACTGTCTCTGTCCAATCTAATTAAAATTATTTGTTAGATCCACTTGCATACTCGCTACACAAACATCTAACAACATCTCATTGAGGGTCACGTCAGAGGTCAAATTCTAATCAACCAATCAAATTGTCTCTTGCAAAATCATTGTTTATTTGTTGACGTAATTGAAGAAAATAAGTCTAGGGTTGTTCCGAATTTGAACTCTGAGTGACCCTCTATAGGATGTTGTTAGATGCTAGTGTAGCAATTATGCGAGCAGATCTAACATCTAATTATGTTCCCCAAACGAAGTTGGGGAACATATTGTTTTTTTACTCTGTTTCTTATTATTATTATTATTATTAAGGTCTTCCGTCTTCACGGAAGACCTTATAGTGATTCTATTGTTTCTTATTATTATTATTATTATTATTATTATTATTATTCTTTTTTTTTAGACAAAATTTTGTGCAGGCGATTTCTCGTAAACTATTTGGTGGATTTCAATGAAAATTTCAGGAATAATAGGTCACTATATGAATTTCATATGAAATTCCGTTTGTTGGAAAATTCGCTACCAGTGCCAAGTTATGGGCAATTTCCTGATTTTAAAATGCAATTTTGTCCGAGAGTGTTCTCGAAAACGGCTCAAGATATTAACTGAAGACTTGTTAGAGATGATTTACATGACTTATAGATGTGCAATTTTGCCTTCGTTTAAAATTTTCAGTACTTCCGGTCGCTACAGGAAGTGATTTCAAAATGTGCACTTTTTCAACTTTTTTTGTGTTTCAATA